CACTGAGGGAAGCAATGTAGAGTAGATTGGCTGCCCCGTTCAGCTCAGGCCCAGCTACCAATCTATACCAGTCTCCAGCTTCCTGTCCTTGTGGTCATTCTGAGTTGCAGCTCTGCAGCAGGTAAGTGGGAAGAGCTGGAGATGCTGATGTCAACAAATTACCTTCCTTGAAAAAGTTACGCCAACAAACATTTGAAAGGGTGATTTCCCATACAAATGTGACTTTCTTTCAATTGAATATGATAAAACTAAATTCAATTTAACCTGCCATTCCCTGGAGTCTGTGAAATTCACACAGAGGATCCTCCATACCAAAAATGTACTGTACTGAGAAGGTATTTTACACCTTGCAAACCACATTGAGTGTTAAGGGAGTAATTAAAACCAAAGAATGTGTCTGAGTTAAAAGTCTGCATCCCATGGACCAAGTTCCATTTTCTCCTACATAGGACAAGATTCTTCTTACATACAATTTCGTGTCTGGAACACACACCACCCTGGAAGCAAACTGCGTTAGGTGCCCCTCCTGTAGATCCTCTATCTCCCTCCAGTCATCCACCATGGCACTTAATCATACTGTGTTGTAGTTCTCTTTTTACTTCCTTGACTCCTTGTATTAGACTGTAGTCTTCCTGACGAAGGTGGAGAATGTAGTTCCTCTTCACTGTATTCCCACAGTAACTATTAACAGTAACCAGTTACCATAGAGTCGATTCTGACTGATGATGACCCCGTGTGTGTCAGAGTGGAACTATGCTGCATAGGGCTTTCCAGGGCTGATTTTTCAGAAGTAGATTGCCCAGTGTTTCTTCTGAGGCACTTCTTGGTGGACTCAAATCTCCAATTTTTTGGTTAGCAGCCAAGCATGTTAACTGTTTGCACCACCCAGGGACTCCCTTCCCCATAGTAGTAACTGTGAATAAACAAAGGAGCAGGCATTTTAGGATTTCTCCTAGTAGGATCTCAGGCTATTCTAGGGAGTTCCCATTTGTTTGGGATTTTTCAGTGTTCCTGAAATGTGTGTCTTGAAATGTTGCCTTTAAGCCCAGAGCAGCTCCCAGAGGAGAATAACAGGTAGAACCAGGTCCTCTGGCTCAGCCTCCTCCACTGAAAGTTCTGGATGGTCCTGGACCTCTCTGGATTGTCAGAGTGTGGGCAAATGCCTCAGCGCCCACAGTTCGTTCTCCCCCTGAGGTTGTCTGGGTATTTAGATGGTGGCATAGAAAAGCAAGGGATCAATCAGTTGGCCATCTGTTAGCTAACCAAGGTGCGTTGCCAGGCTTGATTCAGATGGTAGTTTTCAAACTTTATTCACTGAAGAAAGAGGGCAAAGGAGGAGGCTCAGGGTGGGCTCTGACTCCTGTCCCAGTTTTGCCTAGAGCAGCCCTGCTGTGATCTGTTTATATACTGGAGTTCTACTGCTGAGGTGGGTCAGGATCCCCTCCTCTTCAAACAGATCACTGATTGTCTCTCCTCACCATCCGTAAGGCTATGGATACTGCATGGCATCTTGAGCTCAAGGGAGACCACCCAGATGTGCTATTTAACCTAGTCATTGGGGAAACGGTCAAAAAGCAAATGGAAGATGGCTATCTAGTAAATGAGGCCAAGCCACAGCCTGAGTGTTGAAAAAATGTGGAAAATTCCTGGCAAGGGGATGGGAGCAGGTCCAGAGGAAAGACTGCCCAGACTCGAAGCCAGGGGAACACATAGGACATAGCTCAAAATCAAAATGCTGAGTGTCTGCTTCATGTTGTGTGCTGTCGGGTTGATTCCGACTCATAGCAACCCTATAGGACAGAGTAGAACTGCTTCCTGGGGTTTCCTATGCTGTAAATCTTTACAGGAACAGATTGCCAGGTCTTTTCTCCTGCAGAGCAGCTGGAGAGTTCAAACCGTCAATTTTTTGGTTAGCAGCTGTGTGTTTAACCATTGTGCCACCAGGGCTCCTTGTCTATTTATTAGAGAGGTGTTTATATCACATAGGTGTCTCTGATAGGAGCCATCTACAGGTAAGACTAAGAGAGATGAGGGAGGTCTGGAGTCTGGGCTGAGGAAGGCCTGTGTTCTGCCTGGAGCCTGGTTGGTTGGTTGGGGTGGGCCTGAGTATGACCAGAGGCTCTGATCCAGGGCTGACCTTCCCCTTGACATAAAGGACTGGACTCTGAGGACCTGAAGGGGTATCTATCAGCTCACTGGATTTCAAGGATGGAAAGGATTTCAGAATCATACAGGCCTTATCTGCTAATCCCCCTAAGAACATAGCCACAAAATGGACACTTGTCTCTTCTTAGCCATTCCCCATGAGTGACCATGGTTGGCAGCAAGGAAACATAGGCCACAACAAGACTATATGCAGGCATTAAGGCCTCTTTGCCCGACAAGACTGGGTACTGCTGCCTTTAGGCCTTCTTTGGAATTGGAAAATTCTTCTCCCCGTGAAATGTATGTATTGAGTTATAAAGGACCCCAATCCACCTCATAAGCTTCCAGTTTTTTCTGTCTCTTATTTGAATTCATTTCCACATGACTTGCTGATTGGCTTTTACATGTAACAACTTTCATGGCTCATCCTAATTCCCACCCAGAAGTGGTGGTAAATTGCCAAATTGTCTGCAAAACTCATGGAAGGCTCCCATGTACAAAATTTTGAGGGAAAACTTCACCCAGGAATGAGGCTAGAGCCCCACTGGGGTGGGCAAATGCCCCCTAGGTCTTCCAGTGAATTTTCCTGCCCTTCCTGCACCCCTTATCCTACTTGAAAAGTGAAGGGCTTGTTTCCTCTTCTTTCAAATTGCTAGGTGTCTTAAACTGTTTGCCTGCTGCTTTACCCCCACTCTAGGGGATTGGGGAGGAAGGAGAGGGAAGGAGCCTCATGATTCTCTTTGCTGGTTGACCAGGGAGCATTCTGCCAAAGGGTGAAGATGCTAAAACCTCAGCAGTGACCCAGCAGGTCCATACCTAGGTATGTACCCTAAAAACAGATGTTGAAACAAATACTTGTACACGAATGTTTATAGCAGCACCATTCACAATGGTCAAAGGTGGAAACAACCCAAATGCTCATCAGTTGTTGAGTGGATAAACAAAATGTCTACCCATGCAATGGAATATTATTCAGCCGTAAAAAGGAATGAAGTACTGCTACATGCTACAACATGGATGAACCTTGAAAACATTATACTAAGTGAAAGCCAGACACAAAAGGCTGCATACTGTATGAGTCTATTTATATGAAATGTCCAGAATAGGCAAATCTGTAGAAACAGAAAGCAGGTTGGTGATTGCCAAGGGCTGAGGATAAGAAAGAATGGGAAGTGACTGCTTAATGGGTGTGGTGTTTCCTTTTGGGGTGACGAAAATGTTTTGGAACTAGATAGTGGTGATGGTTGCACAAGCTTGTGAATTTAGTAAATGTCACTGTATTGAGCACTTTAAAATGGTGAATTTTATGTTATATGACTGTAACCTCAATTTAAAACAAGAAAGAGAAAAAGAGCAGAGGAGGAAGAGAAAGGTGAGGAGTACAGAACATCTGTCTTCGTTTCTTCATCAGTAACATGGCAGTAATAAAGCACCTCTCCCACACACACACTGTAATAAGGTTGGTTCCCCCCCCCACACTGTATTAGGGTTGGTTCCCTCCCTCCCCCCACACACACTATATTAGGGTTGGATTCCACACATATGCACTGTATTAGGGTTGGGTTCCCCATACATGCACTGGATTAGGGTTGGTTTCCCCACACACACACTGTATTAGGGTTGGTTCCCACCCTCCCCCCCACTGGATTGGGGTTGGTTCCCACCCTCCCCCCACACACTGGATTAGGGTTGGTTCCCACCCTCCCCCCACACACACTGGATTGGGGTTGGTTCCCACCCTCCCCACACACACTGGATTGGGGTTGGATCCCACCCTCCCCCCACACACTGGGTTAGGGTTGGTTCCCACCCTCCCCACACACACTGGGTTAGGGTTGGTTCCCACCCTCCCCACACACACTGGGTTTGGGTTGGTTCCCCCTGCCCCTACACATACTGTATTCGTTTCCCAGGGCCACAGTAAAAAAGTACCACAAACTCATGGCTTAAAAAAACAAAAATTTATTCTCTCACGGTTGCAAAGGCTTGAAATCCAAAACCAAGGTGTCGGCAGGGTCGTGCACTCTCTGAAGCCTCTAGGGGAGGATCTTCCTTGTTTCTTCTAGCTTCTGGTGGTCCCATGTATTCCTTGGCTTATGACAGCATAACTCCAGTCTCTACCTGTTCTTCACATGGCTATTTTCATTTTGCGTATGTCTCTGTGTCTCTTATTATAAGGACACTAGTCATAAAGAGATTAGGGCCTGCCTTAATGGTCTCATCTTAACCTAATTATACCTGCAACAATCCTATTTCCAAATAAGATTACATTCTGAGATTCCAAGGATTAAGACTTCAACATATATTTTTCTAGGGATCACTATTCAACCCATGACACACACATAGAAATCTGGCCCGAATAATAAACACATGAATGCTTACCAGATAGTTGTTAGTTGCCATCGAGTGGATTCCAACTCATGGCAACTCCATGTGGGCAGAGTAGAACTGCTCCATAGGGTTTTCAAGGCTGTAACCTTTCAGAAGCAGATTGCCAGGTCTCCTGAGGCTTCGAACTGCCAACCTTTTAGCTAGCAGTCACCTGAAATAAATGTTAGTTGCCTTCTTTCCTATATAAGTGTCTAAACTTATTTGCCCCCTTTATTACTTCATTTCTTATGACTCTGTGGTTTGTGGTTCCAGCCAAACAACCTGTCCTCACTGCACGTGGCAGGATGCTCAACCATCTGGGATGTTGATCGGCATCCTGTGTTATGGGCCAGTATGGTCCTTGGGCCACTTCCATAGAATAACCTGGGAGTTGATTCTGTGGGACCCACTTGCTGAATCAGAATCTCTGGTAGTTGGGGATGGGGGGAATCTGGAGATCTACATTTTTAATAAATGCCCCTCCATGTGATGCTCATGCACATTTGAGACCACTGTTTTAATTCATTCCCATCTTTACGATCTCTTCCAGGAAGTCTGCCCAGACTTCTCTGAGAAGCACTCTGATATCCACAGTCCTCCTTAGCTGTGTCTGAGTTTCTGAGTGTCTGGGTCAGATTCACCTTGGGTTCTGCTGGGTGTGCTCTCTCCCATTGGACTGGGGAACCCTCAGGGACAGATGCCTGGGCTTCTCTTCTTGTGACCCCAAGCACATGTTCCTGGTTCCTCCTGCATGTAGACTCTCTGGGATGCTGTAGGAAATGAGACACTTTAGTTTTAAGTTCTTAGAATCCACTTTCCTTTACTTCTACAGATACTCTTGGTAGAAGCTGGCTTCTCCCTCCTTCCACCATTTCTCTATTTCTTGATGGTCTGGGAATTGTATAACTTTGTCACATCAGCCTTTGCTTTTCCCATCCCATCCCATTCCACAGGATGTGCTAGGTGTGGGCCAACCTCCTTCCCACCCTGACGAGTGACCATGGACCCTGGAACCGGGCCAGATGCATCTCTGACTGTCAATGAACAGGTATCTTCTGGGGCTGGAGGAGGCAGGGGTGGGGGATGAAAAAGGTGTCATATCCCTGATGGGCCAAGGTGCGTGGGAATGGGAGGCAGATTCCACAGCACCCCCTACTGTTTATTTCTTACCAAGACTCACGGCCACTTCGCCTGTCCAGCTAGGATTTCTCAGGGGCTGTGGATGCCAGCTAGGGTTTCTCAGGGGCTTAGTTTGGGGATTTAAGCTCTGACTTTAAAAAATGAAATGCATGAATTTAAATGTGACTTCAAAAAATGAAATTAAAATGCATGAATATATAAGTTTACATGGGGCAAGGTGTGAACGTCAGGTAATATACTTTTTTTTCTTGTTTATATATTTTCTAATTTTTCTGCAATGACTATTTGTTACATAATTTTAAAAAGGAGAAAAAAGATTAAAATATAATTGGAGTGAAGTCTCCTATAAGTCAAGTTTGAGTCAGAAAGGGAACTGCTTTTAAAGGGGTTTATTTCACTCGAGCTCCCCTTATGGTCACACTGTCACTTTTTCCAGCAGAGTCTGGCTGGATACAATTTGCAGGCTTAAGTAGCATGTGTGGGAATGGCTTCAGGCATGGGCCAAGTGCAGGGGAGGCCTGACGCAAAGCTTTTTAATGTGTAGAGTTTGTCTGTGATCGTTGAATTGCCCATCTGGAAGCATTTCAGTCTGGGGGTAGGAGCCAAGTACTGGACATTTCAGCAAGGAAAGACCAAGCTTTTAGGGGAGGCTCAAAGACCGTCTGCCTCACTTATGCATGGAGGAGCCCCTTGAGGTCTGAGCATGCCCATGGCAGATGGCATGACTGGGGTGCAGGCTTACAGGCCTGAGACATAAAGCTCCAGTCCAGGAGGGGGTGGGGTGGGGTGGGGAGGGAGAGGCTATGTCTTCATTCAGGAGTCCTGACCCTTGTTTCAGGAAGTGAGCTTTCTGGGAAATCCTGGCCCTTTACCCCAGAATTTTGGAAATAAAGGATCACAAGGGCTTTAAAAAGTTACTCAGCGTTATGGAGAATGCATATTCTACTCCTTGATCTTTGGAAATTTCCAGATGGTTTCAAGGGAAGTAGAAAGGATTTGCTTCCTGGCCCAACTTAAGCTGTGGATACTGTGTCAGGGGCCCTCATGGCCACACTCCAGGAGCCTAGCAACCAAGAGGATATCCTTGCTAGATTATGGGATGGGCCATTTACCACTCCCTGAACTGAGTCCAGGAGAGGGAGCGAATAGAAATATCCCCAAGCGGTTTGGCCCTGTGGCACTTTTTCCAGCTTGTGTTGGACCCTTCTCCCCATCACCAGGGCCTGCTTCTTTTAGCAGCTCCTTCCCTGGAATCAGGGAGCTGCAGGCTGCCCCAGGATCTGGACTTCTCATAGAGCACACAGTCCTCTCGACATGAGGTCTGCATCTCCCAAAGTTCCCTCTCCTCTCTCCCTCAACCATACCCAGAGCTCTGGCCCCTGGGGCTATATCAGCCCCTCCCTCCAGCAGTGTCCCCTGTCCTCTGCTTGCAGGTCATCGTGATGTCAGGCCACGAGACTATCCGAGTGCTGGAAGTTGGAGTGGATGCCCAGCTCCCTGCTGAGGAGGAGGGCAAAGGCCTGGAGGGTGTGGCCACCCAGGACTCTCAGAGTAGAGGCCCTGCCAAAGCCAGTGAACCTACAGGTGAAGCTGGGCCAGACAACCCAGACCTCTCTGCAGAGGCGACTGGTACGAGGCCATTGCTCCCATCTGCCATTGCTCTACCTGAGTCCCCTCCCTGTGATCACCATGGGGAGCCAGCATGAGCCTTGGGGGCCCAGGTGGCTTTAGGTTTTTGTTGTCTTCTTGTCTAGTGGACAGACCCTCTGGCCAAAGCCTGTACTTCTGGTCAGCTGCCAGAGATATTCTGTACTCCTTATCCCTGGAAATTTATTTCTAGTTTCAGTCACTTCTAGGCCTAAACTACAAAGGGTCAGGGTGAGGTGGGAGGAGAGTGGCAGGCCTCAGCTTAGGGGATCAAATCAATCTCAGAGGGCTTCTAAGTCTAAGCCAGACCCTCAGGCCCAATCCAGAGAGAACCTAGATCTTTCAGGATCCTGCCTGCTCTTTCAACTCAGTCCTTTTTGTAGCAGAGCTGGGAGGTCCCAGGAGCTGGAGATAGGAGGACATCTTACCTACCTCAGATTAAGGATGCAGGTTAGGTAAGAACTTGTAGAATCCCAGCTTCCTACTCCTAACTGGGCTGGCATGAGCCAAGCCTGGGGGACTTATAGGTGTTATCCTATTCCAAAGATGACCTTAGGGTGTGAGCGTGATGGATGTGGCTGACCCATCCACATTGTCTCTCCTGGTTACCTGCAGTACAGCTGTGAGACAGCCCTAGAGGCTGGGCTGTAGAATGAAGCATTGCTCTCAGGCCATGGGACACCATCTCATTGACTTTCCTGGTTAACACCCTGCCAAGTAGACATTTCTTTCTGCAGGAAGCCTTGGGCATCCCTTGCCAGTTCCCGCAGAACCTGCCATGATTCATCTCCACTTGTTTTCCACCATAGTTCACCCCTTCACCAGGCTGGAGATCTGTGCTGGAGGGGTGGGCCAAGAGGAGGAGCCAAGAAGAGAGCAGATAAAAACAGACAAGCTTCAGGGAAACAGCAACTCCTTAACAAGAAACCTGCAAGACGTCACATTACTTGCTCTACCTGCAAATCAGCATGCAGATTCATTTGGGGGACCTACTAGCCAGGGTTATTTTTTCCCACTTTTGAATAAAGGAAAGACAAGAAACATGACCATTTTTCCCTAGCCTGGAAATGCTCTGCTACCATGTTGAGGTTAGGATGGATTTTCACCTGCTCCCAAGGGGCAGTTCCCTGGAGAGCAGGCAGGGAGGATAAGGATTCTACATCTCTGCCACCCTTTCCATTCAGCATGGCCCTTTTCAGAAAATTTGGGACTTTTCCCAGGTTTATCCACAATGCTCCTCTTCCTCTGCCATCCTTTTATCCATCTTCCATATTGTATATATTTTGGTGCCCAGTGTCCTTTTCTCCTTAATTCTTCTCTTTATCCAAACCTGCTCTCAGAAATGAGTCCTAAATCAATTATTTACACCTTACCTGAGTGTTTGTGGCAGTATGCATCTTCTTCTCGGGGCTTGTGTATTTAAGCCTTTCATGAAACACTTATTCTTTGTAAAGGAATTTTAGTCATTGTCAAGCAGGTAATAGAAGTATTTTGATGGTAATTCCTAAGAAGCTGACAGAAAGATTGTTCCATCAGAGCAACAGTGCTCTGATGGAACCTTTCTAGGTATGCAATATTAAGGAGAGTTTCCTTATTAAAACAAAACTAAATAACAGAAACTTTTTCAGGATGAAAAAAGAATGCAGTGATTTGTGTCATTAAATTACCATCCAGTACGTGTCACAAATATATATATACTTATTGTTGTGAACACTGAGGATACACTACTTAGTATGATACCTACCACCATATTATTTCATGTACTCAATTTCTTATTTTCTTTATTGACATAGGTTCACACACCTGATACACCCACAGTTTGTTTCTCCATTCTGTTTTTGGCCATTGCCAGTTTTTTACTGTCATAAACAGTTCCAATTTGAATGTCTTTGTACTGGTTCTTTACGATTTTTTTTTTTTTTTTATTTGGGATGTGTTGTTAGATGCCATCAAGTCAGCCCCCAACTTGTGGGGCAACCCCATGCACAACAGGATTGGACCATTGCAATCCATAGGTGTAGTCCACTCAAATTCCTTTTGAAGAGAACTTGTTTACACAGGACATTATCATACAAAAATATAAAATCTTTTGCTGTCGATGAGAGGAAAATTAATTGGCTTTAAGGTACCATGTTCCTGTTAAACCAGAAAAATAAATTAAAAATGATAAAACTTAAATGGGGTGGTGCTGTGGAGAAACAGGTACATTGCCGATGGTTCTGTAAATTGGCCCAGTCTTTCTGAAAAGCAGGCCAGCAGTATACCACAAAAGCCATAAATATATATAAACCCTTGTACCTTGTGGTCCTCCTTTGGAAATAGACCCTAATAAATATTTCACTTCTTTAGATGGTAAGCTTTTATCATTTATATTTATCATGCTCCCATTTTCTCACTTTTTATGTGTTATTGCATTTTGTCAAGCAGAGTGTTTTTAAAATGTGTTCAGGTTATTCTCTGATATTCTTCTAATCTTTTTTAATACCTAGACATGTATCTCCCTTCCACAGAGGAGAGAAATCTGCTGTCTCATTTTCTCTTAGTATTTTATAAGGGCTGTTGTTGTTACTTGCTTGTCTCTTTAATTCCTTAAATGATCTGGATTTTATTATAACATACTATGAGCAGTATAGTACCGAGTTAGGTTGGTGCCTTTCCATATTAAAACATGGGCAGGACTGCAGGGTTGGAAGGAACCTTTAGGTCATTTAGTTTCCTCTCCTGGCTGTGCACTGTATCACATGGGAGCTTTAAAGAAAAGAAAAGGGTTACTGGTTTTCACTCTTGGACATTCTGATTCAGTAGGCCTAGGTTAGGGCCTACAAATCTATGCCCAGTCAGAAGCCACTGATCTGATCCAACACACATCACCCAATACCTAGACTCCTTTTAATGTCTCACTGTATATTAAATAATAACCCTTCTCATTGTTGTGAGGCAGTGAAGAGGTTTCCTGGTAGGCACACCCTATACCTGAATAGTCCAAGGTAGCAAGAGGAGGCTATAACTTGAAAGGAAAGGAAAGGAAAGCTCCAGTTCACCAGAAGTTCCTTTAGAAGCTCACAGAAGCTGCTCATCTTGACTTAGACCTCAAGGAATGGCACAGAAAAGCCAGCTTACCTGGAGGGTCTTTGTGATCTCACAGTGTAGCAAAGACGTGTCCAATTTTCCATTTTCAGGGACTGTCTTCTCCAGGAATTTTCCCTGCAGGAATTCCTGTCCTTCCCCAAGCCAGTACCTACCTGTATCCAAAAAGTACCCCAAAGGTGGGGTGGTAAGATGCCTAAAGTTGAACAATGACCCTGTTGCTGCATGAGCCAAGGGAAGCTGTTCTTACTGATTCCAGCCCCCTTCCTCCCTGACATATCTTCGGTTCAGGCCCTTCTACCTGATAATGTGATAGGTCACAGTGTCCTACAGACCCAATGCCAGGAAATGAGGAGACTGATACCCAACTGTACAGAGGCCTACATTTTCTTCATGTAGATGTGGGAAGAGGGTGGCTTATCTTCCAGGTCTGGCACAGGTTCTCTGGGCTTCTGTTTTCACTACCAGTAGCATTTGGGAAGCTGCCTCATGGGCCAGGGAAGGCCAGCAATCAGTCAGTTGGGGACTTATGCAGAAATACAGTGAGGGGCAGAATGTTACCCCTTCAAGCTATAGATAAGATGTTCTACTCCAGTGCCCCCTCCACTCACATCAGGCTCACTCCATGATGTCCTTCTTTCTCTCAATGCCACGTGAAGTGAAGTCACTCCCGGGGATCCCTCCAAGTCCTGCCCCTGCTGTTGCCACCTTCAGCCAAGCTCCAAGCCAGCCTCAGGCATCGCAGACCCTGACACCACTGGCTGTACAATCTGCCCCCCAGGTAAGAGCCATCCAGCGAGTTGGACAGAGGGCAGTGGCAGGAGTAAAAGGCGTGGGATCTTGGAATGTCATGTCAGGACAGGGAAGGGGCTGTGGCTTGAGGGAGGGAATCTCCTATTAGGCACCCCTGACCTCTCCACTGCCCCAGCTCAGGCCCACTTGGAAAAGTGGATCTGTATTTGCCAGGTAATCTCCTTGGGTCCAGCAATAATTATAGAAATTCCATTAACTCTTTCCAGACACTGGAGTTACTGTTTATCTAATGACTAAAGGAGTGAGTACCCTTGTCAGCCCCTCCATTGGATGCCTGGAAGAATTAATGGATTGTTCACAGAGTCCTCATTCAGAGCCAGGGAGCAGCCCCAGTGCAGTGAGAAGCAGCCTCCAAGAGCCCCCAGGCCTGCTGAGTTCCCTGGGAGCTTTGGCTATAAACACAGACCTCCAAGGCATCCAGTCAAGGGTATTCTCCATGAGAGCCTCTCAGAGGCCTCTGCAGGCCCTTGACCACTTGGTTCCACCCTCTTCTTCCTGACCACAAAGCATTGGTCCTGTGGGCAAGAACTGGGAAAGGCTTGGGAGGCAACAGACTGGCTGGGCCCTGTCCTCCATTTTGGGCTGCTTCTCTGAAGGCAGGATAGGCCAGTCCAGGCCTCCCCTTAGGGTTGGGCCTCCGGCTAGAACTTGGCTCTTTCCCCACTGTCATGCTGCCTTTTACCCACTGCCCTCAGAATGGTTTGTTTGTGCTCAGCTGGGTCTGAGAGACCCCGTGTTTGCGCTGTCAATGTTGATTTTTTATTTTTTCTTTTCTTTTTGAAATCTTGTTTGCTTTTGCAGGTCTTGACTCAGGAAAACTTAGCCACAGTTCTGACAGGAGTTATGGTTCCAGCAGGGGCAGTTACTCAACCTCTTCTTATCCCCATCAGTATTGCAGGTCAAGTGGCTGGTCAGCAGGGGCTGGCCGTGTGGACAATTCCTACAGCAACCGTGGCTGCCCTCCCAGGACTGACCGCTGCTTCTCCTACGGGGGGAGTTTTCAAGCCACCTTTAGCTGGTCTCCAAGGTAACAGCAACTCTCCCCAGGACTGCACCAGGCCCCCCACCACCCTACACCACCATCCCTGCACGCGTGCTTGCCATGCTTGCCATGTTGGACTCAGAATCTGTGGCCCACCAGGGGCAACAGCCCTGGAGTCTGGATCCAGTGTCCCAGGCGCCCAGCCACAGAGCCTCTGCACCACCTTGGGACTCTAGGCCAGGATGCCATGCTGGCCAGCAGGCCTCTTGTACTTCAGGCAACTGTCTGAGACTGCCCCACTTCCCCATGCCAGAGTTCACCTCATGACCAGCCTCCTGAGAAGGACTGCAAGAAGAGTCAACGTCTGGTTCTTGAACCTACACATCTGCAGGCCCAAGGGAGAGGGGATGCGAGATGTTGACATGTGCCACCCCCTTCAAGGATCAAGGGAATCGTTGCTGCCTGCCCTCCATGCCCCATTGCCCCCAACCCCTTCGATTCTGGTGCCAGATCCCTTGGGATTGAAGCTGCTCTGGACTGTGGCCAGGCATTTGAGCACCTCTGTCTTTGCCTTGCTCCATAGCAGCTGCCGTGCTGAACACCGCTCTCCCGGCACCTGTACAAGCTGCCCCATCAGTACAGGCCTCCTCGCCAGCCCAGCCCCGGCCACCAGCCCAGCCCCAGCCGCTGTTCCAGGCCCAGCCGCTGCTGCAGACTACGCCTACCATTCTACCGCAGCCCACTGCTGCCACTGCTGCCCCCACCTCCAAGCCAGGGGACACCCCTCCACAGATCACCATCCAGCCTGCAGGCTTCGCGTTTAGCCCAGGAATCGTAAGCTGTTGCCCTCACTTAGGGCTGGAGCAGGGATGGACTGAATCTTGGTCCAAGGGTGGAACTGACCCTTCCCAAAGGGGAGGAAGGAGGCAGAGGACTAGCTCTCTGAATATGGCCCTTTTCCAATCCTTCAGCAGAGATGGGCTCCCTCTGAGGCCTTCTCCTTGCAGCTGCCCATCCCAGACAAAGGCAGGCAACCTCTGCCAAGAGGTCTGAGCACATCCTCCAGAACTGAACCACTGGACCAACCTTGAAGGGTGGGATGATGTCTGGGGGTTGCTGACTTGTGAGCTGCCACTAAAGTGCAGTCGGAGACTCACAGCCCCTTGGTTGGTATCTAAATGTCCAGTGTGGCTCCTGACTTGAAAGTGAGAGCTATGAGAAGTGACTAGACTCATAGCAGCCTTTCTGAGCTGGCCCTTCCAACCTCACAGGCCCAGCCTGAAAGATTAGCCAGAGTTTCTCTTGCCTGACCATAGTCCCATTCATCCCTGCTGACCACCGACAGCCCCAAGCTCTGGATACTATTCCGCTGGCAGACATGGGCCTGCAGCCCACATTCACATCTGACCAGCATGCATATCTCCCCACCGTAGTGCCCTCAGTCCTCTTCCCTCTGCCTTGAGTTCTTTCCTGCTCCTTGGCTTCTAAGCATGGCTCTTCCTCCACCCACAGATCAGCGCTGCCTCCCTCGGGGGACAGACCCAGATCCTGGGCTCCCTCACTACAACTCCAGTCATTGCCAACGCCATTTCCAGCATGCCGGGGATCAGCAGCCAGATCCTTACCAATGCTCAGGGACAGGCAAGTGGTCAAAGCCAGGGGTGAGAAGTGGGGCTGTGGAGAGGCTGGCCAGGAGGGGGCTGGGACTTTGGGTGAGCATCATAGAAACTGGGGTCAAGCTGCTGTTCACATCTCCTGTGTGGCGGCTCTCTGCCGATGCTGAGGCCAAGCAGGGACGCAGCCACCACCCTGCCCTCGAGGAACTCACTCTAGTTGGGAGGGCTTATTTATGGAGCCCCACCCCCCCACTTTGTGGCCAGGCTCTATACTAGGTGCTTTCTCATACGTTGTTTCACTTTGGTTTTTTGTTTTTTTTTTTAACTTTTTTTCTTTTAATTATATTTCATTGTGTTTTTGGCAAAAGTTTACACAGCAAATTAGGTTCCCATTTGACAATTTATACACAAGTTATTCAGTGACATTAGTTACATTTTTCACCATGTGTCAACATTCGCGTTAATTGCATTCTGGTTGTTCCATGTCTCACTTCATTTTGAGTACATCTCTATTAGATGGAGATTTTTATTCTCATTTTACAGGGGAGAAGGCTGAGGTTCAGAGCAATTAAACCACGCAGCTAAAATGGGGCAGAGCAAGAATTTGCCCCCAGTTCTGCCTGAATCCACATCCAGACCTGTTTTTGCTCCACTACAGCTCTGGAGATAGAATGAAGGAAGCAGCCCCTAGAGTGTGAACCCTTCACTTTATTGATGAGGAAAGTGATGTGACTAGACTCACCTCAGCCTTTCTGGGATGGCAGGCCTGGCCTGAAAGATTAGCCAGAGTTGCTCTTCCCTGACTATAGTCCAGAGGGGTTAGGTGATTTACCCAAGTTGGTCTTTCCTCATGCCAGTGTGGGGATTTGGGATTGGGGTGGAGCAGAATCCTGCCTTCACTCCTGAGGTCCCTACCTTATCTTCTCCCAGGTTATTGGAACACTTCCGTGGGTAGTGAACTCAGCTAGCATGGCAGCCCCAGCACCAGCCCAAAGCCTGCAGGTCCAGGCCGTGACCCCCCAGCTGTTGTTGAATGCCCAGGGCCAGGTGATTGCGACCCTGGCCAGCAGCCCCCTGCCTCCACCCTCAACTTTCCGGAAGTCAAGCACACCTGAGTCCCCAGCTAAGAGTGAGGTACAAGGGCCGGGGTGGGGGGCACGCAATGCCGTCTGGCACAGGCTGCTTCTCTTCAGGCTTCTGGGAAGGAGGACATTTTTGAGGTCTCTGAGAGAGCAGGGCACCTCCTAAAAGTGAAGGGAGATCCCGGGTAGAAGACCCACGTGAGTCCACACATGCTCTGCCCAGGGAAATAGCACCCCACCCCGCACCCACACACAACAAAAACATGTATATGCATGCTCAGAGGTCAGTGCCGTTCTGAGGAGGCCAGGGGTGTGGTGGTCAAGGTAGATGGCCTGGGTCAGCTCCAGGTGAACAAACTGTAGGAAGAGAGCCTTGGAGGTTAGTTTTACCCCTTCCTCTTCACCCTTCACCCCCCCCCCACCCCTTCACTCAGCACTGTTGCTTTGATTATTCATTTATTTGTTAATTCTAGGAGCGTTTTTTGGGTGCCTACTATACCACCATTTGTCAGTTTGTTGTACTGTGGTGGCTTGCACGTTGCTGTGATGCTGGAAGCTATGCCACTGGTATTTCAGATACCAGTAGGGTCACCCACAGTGGACAGGTTTTAGCAGAGTTTCCAGACTAAAACAGACTAGGAAGAAGGACCTGGCAATCTGCTTCTAAAAAAAAACAAAAAATATTGGCCAGTGAAAACCTTAGGAACAGCAGCAGAACATTATCCGATACCAGTGCCGGAGAATGAGCCCCTCAGGTTGGAAGACACTTGTGATGGTTAAGTTTGTGTGTCAACTTGGCTGGGCCACGATTCTCAGTGTTTTGGCAGTCATATAATATTTTGATCACTTTCGTGTTGAGATTTGATACATGATCACCCCCATGATGGGATCTGCTGTGAGTTGGTACTGGCAGAGGTGGCGCCTGTGGTGGCTCACGGTCCCCCTCAGCCTTCATCTCTCCGCCCTCTACCACCTAGCTCTTCCTTCTCTCCTTGCTTGGGCTTTTGCTTTTTCTGGATCCTGCAGCTGGCTGCTGTTCATCTGACCTGTAGTTCTTAGAACCTGAGCTAGTAGCTTATCTGCAGTCTTGCCTGCCAATCTTGGGATTTGTTGATCTTCACAGTGTGTGAGCAACAGCCCTGCTCTCCAGTCTGCCAATCTTGGGTTTGTCAGCCCCTGCAGCTATGTGAATCAGGAGAAGCCTCTTTCCTGACCCACCGACTTGGGACTTTACAGCCTTTACAACCTCGTGAGCCATTTCCTTGATATAAATCTCTCTCTCTCTCTATATATATATAGATATATGTACGCTTTACTAGTTTTGCTTCTCTAGAGAACCCAGCCTAAGACAACACTCAAAATACGACTGGAAAAGAGCTGCTTCCTCAAAGTACGGTTGACCTTAATGACCTGGAGTCAAGCTTTCGGGACCTTCATTTGCTGATGTGACACAACTCAAAATGAGAAGAAACAGCTGCAAATATCCATTAATAATCAGAACGTGGAATGTATGAACTATGAATCTAGGAAAATTAGAAGTTGTCAAAAAGAAAATGGTACACATAAAAATCAATACTCTAGGCATTAATGAGCTGAAATGGACTGGTATTGGCCATTTTGATTCAGACAATCATATGGTCTACTATGCCAGGAATGACAAATTGAAGAGGAGTGGCGTCACATTCATCATCAAAAAGAACATTTCAAGATCTATTCTGAAGTACAGCACTGTCAATGATAGGATAATATACGCCTACGAGGAAGACCAGTTAATATGACTATTATTCAAATTTACCCCCAACCACTAATGCCAAAGATGAAGAAACTGAAGATTTTTACGTTTCTGCAATCTGAAATTGATCAAACATGCAATCAAGATGCATTAATAATTACTGGTGATTGGATGTGAAAGTTAAAAACAAAGAAGAAGGATCAGTAGTAGGAAAATATGGCCTTGGTGACAGAAATGACTCCAGAGATCTCATGATAGAATTTTGCAAGACCAACAACTAATTCATTGCAAATACCTATTTTCCAACAATGTAAATAGTGACTATACATGTGGACTTCACTGGATGGAATACACAGGAATCCAATAAACTACATCTGTGGAAAGAAGATGGAGAAGCTCAATATCATTAGTCAGAACAAGGCCAGGGGCTGACTGTGGAACAGACCATAACTGCTCATATGCTAGTTCAAGTTGAAGCTGAAGAAAATTAAGACAAGTCCACGAGAGCCAAAGTATAACCTTGAGTATATCCCACCTGAATTTAAAGACCATCTCAAGAACACATTGGACGCATTGAACACTAATGACTGAAGACCAGGCAAGTTGTGGGATAACATCAAGGACATCATACATGAAGAAAGCAAAAGGTCATTAAAAAGACAGGAAAGAAAGAAAAGACCAAAATAAATGTCAGAAGAGACTCTGAAACTTGCTCTTGAATGTAGAGTAGCTAAAGCAAATGGAAGATATGGTGAACTAAAAGAGCTGAATAGAAGATTTCAAAGGGCAGCTTGAGAAGACAAAGTAAAGTATTATAATGAAATGTGCAAAGACCTGGAGTTAGAAAACCAAAAGGGAAGAACACACTTGGCATTTCTCAAGCTGAAAGAACTGAAAAAAATATTCAAGCATCAAGTTGTAATATTGAAGGATTCTATGGGCAAAATATTGAACAATGCAGGAAGCAGCAAAAGAAGATGGAAGGAATACACAGAGTCACTGCACCAAAAAGAATTGTTGATGTTCAGCCATTTTAGGAGATAGTGTATGATCAAGAACCAATGGTACTGAAGGAAGAAGTAAAAGCTGCACTGAAGGCATTGGCAAAAAACAAGACTCCAGGAATTGATGGAATACCAATTGAGATGTTTCAACAAACAGATGCAACGCTGGAAGCGCTCACTCATCTATGCCAAGAAATTTGGAAGATAGCTACCTAGCCAACTAACTGGAAGAGATCCATATTTGTGCTCATTCCAAAGAAAGGTGATCCAACAGAGTGTGGAAATTATTGGACAATATCATTATATCATATGCAAGTAAAATTTGCTGAAGATAATTCAAAAACAGTTGCAGCAGTATGTCAACAGGGAATTGCCGGAAATTCAAGCCGGATTCAGGAGAGGACATGGAACCAGGGATATCACTGCTAATGTCAGATGGATCTTGGCTGAAAGCAGAGAATACCAGAAAGATGTTTACCTGTGTTTTATTGACTATGCAAAGACATTTGACTGTGTGGATCATAACAAATTATGGATAACATTGCAAAGAATGAGAATTCCAGAACACTTAATTGTGTTCATGTGCAGAACCTATACATAGATCAAGAAGCAGTCGTTCAAACAGAACAAGGGGATACTTCATGATTAAAACCAGAAAGGTGTGCATCAGGGTGGTATCTTTCACCATACTTATTCGGTCTGTATGCTGAGCAAATAATCCTAGAAGCTGCACTATATGAAAAATAACAGGGCATCAGGATTGGAGGAAGACTCATTAACAGCCTTTGATATGCAGATGACACAACCTTGCTTGCTGAAAGTGAAGAGGACTTGAGGTACTTACTGATGAAGATCAAAGACTACAGCCTTCAATATAGATTACACCTCAACGTAAAGAAAACAAAAATCCTCACAACTGGACCAGTAAGCAACATCATGATAAACAGAAGAAAAGACTGAAGTTGTCAAGGATTTCATTTTACTTGGATCTACAATCAATGCTCATGGAAGCAGCAGTCAAGAAATCAAACACATTGCATTAGGCAAACTGCTGCAGAAGATCTCTTTAAAGTGTTAAAAAGCAAAGATGTCACTACGAGGACTAAGGTGCGCTTGACCCAAGCCATGGTATTTTCGACTGTCTCCTATACAAGCAAAAGCTGGATAATGAATAAGGAAGACTGAAGAAGAATTTATGCGTTTGAATTATGGTGTTGGTGAAGAATATTGACTATACCATGGAATGCCAGAAGAACGAACAAATCTGTCTCGGAAGAAGTACAACCAGAATGCTCCTTAGAAGTGAGGATGGCGAGACTTTGTCTCACATACTTTGGACGTGTTATCAGGAGAAGGACGTCATGTTTAGTAAAGTGGAGGGTCAGAGAAAAAGAGGAAGACCCTTAATAAGATGGCCTGACACAGTGGCTGCAACAATGGTCTCAGATTGTGAGGATGGCGCAGGAATGAGCGGTTTCTTGTTCTGTTGTACATAGAGTCGCTATGAGTTGGAGCTGACTGGACGGCACCTAAGAACTAACAAGACTATTTATTTCAGCTGCTGAAGATACAGAGATAAATAAGACATCCTTTTTAGCCTTGGAGCCCTGGTGGCACGGTGGTTAAGAGCTATGACTGTTAACCAAAAGGTCAGTGGTTTGAATCCCCCAGATGCTCCTTGGAAACCCTATGGGGCAGTTCTACTCTGACCTATAGGGTCACTATGAGTCGGAATTGACTCAACGGCAATGGGTTTTTTTTTTTGCCCCCTAGACTTAGGTAGCCCAGTGTTGGAGACAATTACAAATCAGTTTGACAAAGACTATGATTACCATTGCCCTCGAGTTGACTCCAACTCATGGCAACCCCATGTGTGTCAGAGTAGAACTGTGCTTGTGCTCAGTGGCTAATTTTTCGGAAGTAGATCACTGGGACTTTTTTCCAAGGTGCTCTGGGTGGGCTCAAATCTCCAACCTTTCAGTTAGCAGCTGAGCCTGTTAACTGTTTGCACCACCCAGGGACTTCAAAGACTATGATAGGGGCATGAACAAGGTGCTTTGGGAACCCAGAGAAGAGAGCTCTCGACAGACTGCAGGGTCTAACCGGGCAAGGCTTCATAGAGAGGGAACATTGAACTAATTAATCTAAAGAGAAAAGTGGAAGAAAGGGAATTCCAGACAGAGGCAACAGTATTTATAAAGGCCTGGGCAGAGTTAGACGTGAGAGCGTTCCACCTTTAGGGAATTGCTAGAAGTGTAATGTGCTAGGGCAGTGGCTGTCAAACTTGAGTGTGCATCAGAAACTGCACACTCTGGAGGGCTTGTTGGAACACAGATTCCCAAGTCCCACCCCCAGAGTTTCTTATTCAGTAGATCTAGAGTGGGGCCCAAGAATTTGCATTTCTAACAAGTTCCCAGGTAATGTTGAAGCCATTGGTTCTCAAATGTGGTATGCTGCTTTGAGCTTTGTGAATAACCTCTTAGCCTTCTCTGTAAAATGCGGATTAGAAGAGCAGCAACTTCAGAAGGTTGTTATGAATGTCCAAGTGCTTTCTGTGTACTGTTGTTGTCAGTTGCCTGTGAATCGAGTCACTTCCAACTCATGGCAACCCCATGTGTGCATAGAACTACTCCATAGGGTTTTCAAGTCTGTGACCTTTCTGAAGCAGATCGCCAACCTTTAAACCAGTAGTAGAGTGCTTAACTATTTGCACCACCCAGGGCCTCCTCTGCATACTAGACAGTGTTAATTGCCTTACCAGTGGTGAGTGGTAGCTCTTATTGTTATTGCTATTATTAGGTGGCAGAGCCCTGGTAGTGCAGTGGTTAAGAGCTACGGCTGCTAACCAAAAAAGGTCAGCAGTTCGAATCCACCAGCTGCTCCTTAGAAACGCTGTGGGGCAGTTCTATTCTGTCCTGTAAGGTTGCTATGAGTCAGAATCGACAGCAACAGATTTTTTTTTTTGGTATTATTAGGTAGAAGGGAGCCACTGAAAAATTTTTAGCAGGGAAAGTCAGATTTGCATTAAAAAAAAAAATGCCTTTGTTATCCAGGCATAACTAGGAACTAGATTGCGCTAGTAAGACTTGAGCTCTCATCACCTGTTATTGTTGTTAGCTGCCATCATATTGGCCCCCGACTCATGGCGACCCCATGCACAATGGAACAAAATGCCATCCTCATGACTGATTGTGAATTGGACCGTTGTGATCCATAGGATTTTCATTGGCCGATTTTCAGAAGTAGATTGCCAGGCCTTTCTTCCTAATTTGTCTTAGTCTGGAAGCTCCACTGAAACCTGTTCAGCATTATAGCAACACGCAAACCACCGCTGACGGGTGGTAGCTGCGTATGAGGTACATTGGTCAGGGATCAAACCTAGGTCTCCTCATGGAAGATGAGAATTCTACCACTGAACCACCAATGCTCTCACCATCACCTGTTAGGAGGCAGTTTCAACAGTTCAGGCAAGAGACTATCTCTGAACTAAGGCAAAGGCCCTGGGGATGAAGAAGAAGTAGACTTGAAAACTACCAGAAGGTAGAATCTGGGGAATAGGACCCCCCTAGAGGAACCTGTACTTCCTAGGGAGCTTTTTTTTTTATAATACGAAAAATACTAATTTCATATAGTTACAGTTTCTCCTGATTACAAAAATAATACGATTTGTTATAAAAATTCCAACATTACATGTAATGTAAAAAGTAAAAATCCCCTCTAATTCCACCCTCAGAGATTACTTCTGTTAACAGCTTGCTTTATAAGCCTCCAAAATTTTTTTTCTGTAAATTTATATATATATCTTAAAGGATTTAGTCCATAAAAATTGCTTTGAACATTACATTTTTTCACATAACACAGAGATTTTCCATGTCAGCAGTTAAGAGATATACCTTATTCTTTTGAGCAGCTGACCAGTATCTCATTCTGGGAGGCCCCAGAAGTCATTTCCCTAGTTCCCTAGTAATGGACATTTGGGGCCTGGCAAGCTGTAGAATCAGGTTCTGGTTTCTCTGAGGGCAGAGATTTGAGAAGAGTTATCACAGGAGTGGACAGTTGTTTGGACTTTGGTCAAGTGTATTAAACCTTTCTGAGCCTCTGACCTGCCTGGGTCACAGGTGGTAGCAAGGCTCAAGCTTGGTTGGACATGTTGCTGTGCTTACTTAGAAGGTCATTGCTGGGTGGGTGTTGATAATCAGCGTCCAGCCTTGCCATTTGATGGGGCACAGGTGGGAGTGTGCTGAGTGAGGATTTCATGCCCTGCCTCTGGTCCACCCAGGGAATCCAGCTCTCTGAGCCGGACAAGTGGGCTGCAGGGGCTTGTTGGCTCTTTTCTCATAGGTGCAGCCCATCCAGCCCACACCAGGGGTGCCCCAGCCCACTGTGGTCATTGCCAGCCCAGCCCCAACAGCCAAGCCATCTGCCTGTGCTCCCATCCCAATTACCTGCTCAGAGACCCCTACCGTCAGCCAGCTCGTGTCCAGTAAGTGGATCCTGGAGGAGGAGTGTGGAGAAGGGGGAGGCATTTTTGGGGCAAAGGGGAAGGGCAGAGGCCCAGTGCCAGGAGTTAGCTTTCTCATTCCCATTCCTGTTGAGGTGGATTCTGGCTGGACATGATGATGGTGCAGGCTGCTTAGCTGGCTACCTGTGTGCTTTTCTGAGAGGCCAAGCCATGGGCTGTCTTTGCTTTGCTCTTTCACCCAGTATTTGAGGAATGTGGGTGGCCAACCTGAGTGCTTGGGGCCAGGAACAGGGGGGTGGGGGAGGGCAGGCAATTAGAACTGAAAGAACTTGCAGATAGAGCCCTAGCCCGTGGTTGTTCCAAGCGCCCTACCCCCAGGTGTTGTTTGTCCTGGGGCAGGGGTGATGAAGGTCTGAAGGATGCAGAGAGCTTTTTGCCAAGGCCCTCATCCCTCACTATTACACCAGACCAAATCTATGGGCCAGGTATGCAGTGATGATTCCCACCTTACACTCTCACCCCTGGTCCCTTCCTCTGGCCTAGAGCCGCATACCCCAAGTCTGGATGAGGATGGAATCAACTTAGAAGAGATCCGGGAGTTTGCCAAGAACTTTAAGATCCGGCGGCTTTCCCTGGGCCTCACACAGACGCAGGTGGGTCAGGCTCTCACTGCGACGGAAGGCCCAGCCTACAGCCAGTCAGCCATCTGCCGGTGAGTAAGGTGGCCTTGGACCAGGCCTAGGCCTGCTTGCACCTGGTGCCGCTGGGCACTCCTGAGGAACCAGACATCCAGCCCCCTTCCATATGCTCTCTTACTCCTGCCTTCTTCCAGATAAGGACTGTCCTAAGAGTAGACATGAACACCTGGAGTAGCCAAAGACCAACCTAGTCTTTCTAGGGGCTCCCTGAAGCTTATCCTCCAATCCTGAGCATTTCTCTGTACTTCTTTGGGAAACCCAAGACCCTAAGCCATTCAGGAATCATGTCGGGAGTTCTGTAGTCTCATCTGGACTCAGACAGAAAGAGAAGCCCCTACTACGAGATTGACTGTTAGTGATGTGCTGTGACAGTGCACTTGGAGGAGGGTAGCACTCATGACATCCATTTGCCATCTCTGGGTGGCCTCTCAAGATGACTCCTTGATGGACTTCACTCATTTCGGTGTAAAACTTTTGGGGTGATTGTTTAAAAATGAGTTGCATTATTATCATCACACTACTGAACTGAGGCTAGGGGAATGGCTCCCTATTATGACCTGGTATACAGGAGAGTCAGAGGAGTCTGGGCTTAGTCGAACTGGGGGTTCTTGGTGGAGTGTAGGGGGAACAATGGGTGAGGGCTCATGAGCCCTGAGAGGAGCAGTGGTCCCTTGAGGATGGCACTTACACCTGGGTGGGAGATTGCTGAAGGGACTGAGACACTCTCACTGTCCCTTCCTGGGCTTGGGTTGCCCACAGGTTTGAGAAGCTGGACATCACACCCAAGAGTGCTCAGAAGCTAAAGCCGGTGCTGGAGAAGTGGCTGAATGAGGCCGAACTCCGGAACCAGGAAGGCCAGCAGAACCTGATGGAGTTTGTGGGAGGTGAGCCCTCCAAGAAACGCAAACGCCGCACCTCCTTTACCCCCCAGGCCATAGAGGCTCTCAATGCCTACTTCGAGAAGAATCCACTGCCCACAGGCCAGGAGATCACCGAAATTGCTAAGGAGCTCAACTATGACCGTGAGGTCGTTCGGGTCTGGTTCTGCAATCGGCGCCAGACACTCAAGAACACCAGCAAGCTAAATGTCTTTCAGATCCCTTAGGGCTCAGCCCCCAGCCCTGTGTTGCAGCACTTTGTACGTTTCCTGTGGCGCCTAGCCGTGACAGCACCTGTCATTTTGCCACATGCAGCTGTGCTTGTCCTGGGTCGTGAGACTCCACTCTCTGTGCATGTGTGTCAGATGCCTCCTCCTCTTCCCCTCATACCCTACACCGTGGGGAGGGCAGAGGGCTCCTCCTGAGAGCTCCAGGCTCTGGGCTGGTCACATCCAGGAAGGGCATTGATGGTGTCACTGGAGAAGCACTTTGCTAACGTGGTTTTTGAAGGGTGAATTCTGGATGGAACCAGAAACTCCCTTCTTTGGAGCAGGGCTGTAGCAGTTTTTGATGGCATTCTCTTCCCAGCCGCTCTTCTCCTCTGCTCCTCTGTATTAATGTGGCAGGTATAGGCAGCTCATCCAGCGGAACCACAGCCTCATATCTTCCCCTCCTTTGCTTGAGGGCACACTGCGCCAGAGGTGTAGTGAGGGTAATGAGCACCCAGAGGCAGTCTCTAAATTGCACCGCCTACTCCCAATTTCAAGATGAAAGCAGAAACACCTTATCCTCCTTGTCCAGCTGCCTCAGTCAGGCACCTTTCGTATTTGTGACACCTCAGAATGTCATTCCGCACCTTGTCTGACTCCCCCTTGGACTTGCACCCTGGGGCAAGTGCCCCCTTCTGCCCCCTCCCCACACCTCTACACTGCCCCCCTGAAAGCACCCAAGAGACAAAATCCAGAAAAATGTCGTATGTTGAAGATCAGATTCAGGGTCTGCCTTGACCTCACGGTTAAGGTTCCTGCAGCCGTGGGACCAGAACATTTGACCTCGCCCACCTCTCCCTGGCTCCTCTGGGGGAAATTGCACTAAGGCAGAGCCTTTTCTTTTTTAAACCCACATTGGGAGCAGGCAGTAGTGAACTCTAGTTGTCCTGGGGTTGACCTTGGTCTGCTGCACACAGGTCGGGAATTTAGTAAATAGGGCCATCTTCACAGATTTTAATCTAATCCTGTCCCTGGCCATCTCCCCTACTAAAAGGGTGCAGGTAAGAGAACTTGTAACCTCAAAAATCCCACTGCCCAAGCAAACAGCAACTCTGGAGAAAAATGAAGACAGGAATGCTGATTTTCTCTCATCCCCACATCCACCTCCAGCCCAGTACTGGGGCCTTCTCAGAAGGAGCAGATTAAACAATAAACCAGACAGCAAGGCCCTGGTGGAAAGGACAACATCCAGAAAGAGTTGATAGCAGCCCAGGAAGGTCTCTGGTGGAAGACAACTTAACTCTAATTTTCTTCGTAATCTTAAACCTTGGATACTTGGATAAGAAGAAATCTTATTTTGTTCAGAGTCTTAGACCATGTATGTTGTGTGTAAGAAGTCTCCTCAGTGCTCCTGCAAATCAAGAATACTGCCGTATCAGCAAGGATTTTGGCTCTAGAGGTGGTAGCTATGGTACATTGGGGGTTGGCATCTCATCTAAGCTGCTAAGTCAGTTTCCCAACCTGACTATGGCTGGGCAGTCCCTAGAACTCAGGATGTGACTCCAGGAGGTCAGGAGAGAACTAAGAGGTTTGCTTGCTAGACTGCTGTGTAGACTGTCCCTAAAGGCCACAGGTTACAGGGGTCAGCTACCCCGTCTTCACTAATATTTGTGCCCTCCACTGCACCTTGTGTGATACACCTGAGGGAGTGACCGCCAGGCCAAGAGCACATCAGCACCTCTGTCAGTCACCCGTCCTAGCCCAGCTTCCTCGGCAGGCTGTTTCCTTTCCTGCTAACCAATGTTCCCTCCCTGGCCCTGCAATGCCAGCCTGACCACCGTCTTGGTAGCCCTGTCAGTGAGAGGAGGACAGTTATGTGCCCAATTACCCCACCTCCCCCTACATTCGGACAAACCAAACCTGCTGGAGTTGGGGGGAGGGGAGCAGGTGGGCACCTTGCCTAACTCAGCCTCCCAGGAGAGACCATGTCTCCAAGGCGGAAGCTCCATACCCTCGAGTTCAGGGTTATCCACCTGCCTCGATGAGGTGATGCTGGGTGCTCATTTGGGAGGGGTGTTGGAAACAACTTTTCAGTAAGAGCAGTTAAAGCATCGACATTTATAAAGGAGTCAGTAACTTACACTTTAATAAATTAGAGAGATTCAGGTTTTCACCCTTAAACATTTGTATTCAGGTATGTTTTCGTTTTTTGGGAGAGACAAGTGGGTCACAGCTGGTGCCCTGGAGTAGCATGTAATCCAGGGCGTGTCCACAGCAGTGGTCATGCAGGAGGACACCGTCTGTCCTGTGTCATGGCAAGAAAAAGATCGTGAGCTGCTGGTCTCAATTAGGCTGGCCAGCCCCTCCCTTGTCTAAATCTGTCTTCCCAAGGCTGGGCTAGAACTAAACCGTCTTCTTCTCTGCTGGAACGTTGGGTCAGTCTTTCAGAGGAACACTGTCAGGGGCAGAATATCTGCAAGCTGAATTCCCCAAGCAGGGGGCTGCAGGAGGAGGCCTGTCCCTGTAATATGCCCAAAGCATGCGAACCAGCCTGTGGTCCATGCCCTGCTTCTCACTGAAGGGCCACAGAGAAGCAGCTGGGGCCTGGGCTACTGCCCTAGGAGACTTTTTTTTTTTTTTTTTTGTAGCATCAGGCTCTGAAGGGAGTTGGAATAAATTTTGTTGTGAAAGCACCTTTCTGGACTTAAGTCAGAGCTCAGTGGCTCCTTTGCCATGGAAAGGCAGGAGAAAAGGCAGAAATGGTTTAACTGTTTGTGTGTGTGGTTTGTTTCTGTTTTAAATGAAAAGACCAAATTTTTCTGTGGCTGGTGAACCAGATGGGGCCTTTGGCCCCGTGCTAACCATGGAATTTTATCCAGGTGGGGTACAGGGAAAGAATTTGGCCAAGTGGACTGAGTAACATACTTGAGTTTGCAATGAGAGACCCTGACATTTCTATTCTCAGAAATCCAGCCACCTTCCTATGCCCAGAATGCCCTCCTGCCTCCTAGGCCAGGCTCTGACACTGAGGCTCTGACTCTGCCCCCCAACACGGGGCAGAGCCTGCTGAGGGCTCTGGGGGTGGGGGGATTGGGAGGTTCCAGTGGGAGAGAACCACTTGATGTAGTTGTGTGGAATAAACAGTATTTTTTCTTTTATACTGGTCTGCTTGTTTCTTGTTCACCTCTCAGGGTGGGGATATAAGGAAACCAGTGTCAGAGGCCAGAGAGGTGGCAAGGAGCTGCCTTTGCTGTCAGAGAACTTTCAGTGTGGAAAATCCCATTGCAAGAGGGCAAGAGTGCCCTGGGCTTCTGTTTCAGATGGCCCTGCTTAGGGCCATGCTTCAGCCACACCCCTCCCCATGGGACACAGGGTCTGCAGGGCCAAGGGAGTGTGTCCTTTCCCCTTGTAGACCATCCTTCTAGTCCCCATGTCTCCAGAATCCCCACTCTCAGCACCCCTCTTCTCTGGGTCCACCCTCCTGAGGGCAGACTCTGCTGTTGGTGTGCACACTTCTAGGCCCAAGGGTTGGCCAAGTGGCAGCCGTTTGTCAGAGAGTCGGGTGGACAGAGCTTGAATATGCAGACTGGAGTGTCTACACATGTACACGAGGTGCCTTGCAGTATGAGATGGGTCTGGGAGTGGGAAGAAAAGGCAGGATGTAGGCTGGGGGCCAGGAAGGGGGTACATTCTAACAGAACTTCAAAGAGACCTAGAAGTCTCAATTCAAACCCCACCTTCCAAGTCATTATGAAGGTATACTCATCAAGGTGGGAGGCTAGAACATTAACAGCTCAATTTATATTTTTCAAAATTTAGGGATATGGTAAGTGAACCTTCATTTGTACTCTTACCCCAAGCCTACAAATGTTAGGGGCAGGCCTGCTACCAGGGCTTAGAGCTGGGAGAACAGCTGTAATAAGGGTCTCCCTCTTTGCTTGTCTACCTTATAGGAGTGGGTTTATGCCATGTCTCCCCACGCCCTCAACACACACACACACAACTACCTGGCATTGATGGTGTCTGGGCTAAACAAACTGGTGAGCACAACGCATCAACTTTGATTCTATCCAACCAGCTGAGGACAACACTGTGCTGGGTTCTAGACCATATTCCACCACCCTACCCTCATCCAGAGGGATGATAGATTTCTAACACTGATGCAAGGCTCAGTGATCAGAGGAGCTTTATAGTACTCTGAAATAATGGGACAAAATCAAATAATAGGCAGCACTTACCCTTGCACTGACCTCACAACCCTGAAATTAGCTGTTCACATTGGGCAGTGACTCCTCAGTACTTAGGTCAGGGGCACACAGTAGGTGCTTGAGAAATGCTTTTCAACTGACTGAATGCATTTCTTACCTTCTCCTTTAAGGAAATAATGACAGCTGAGCCCCTGACTTCAGGCTACTGAGAGAAAGCAGGTACAGGGAATTCAGCTTAGCTAGGCAGGATCTGTACTGTGAAATGTGGGTGTGAATGGAATCTGGGCAGCAGCTGGCCCCAACCAACTGATCCCAAGAGAGGCCAGCTCCCAGCAGCTCCCACCAGAAGAGTCAGTGGGAGCTGCTATCTCTGGCTCAGACCAGTTGAATGTGGTTCCTGGCAGTTGGCCCAGGAAGGCTTAAAAGGGAGAGGGGTGGGTACGTGGAGGGACTGCAGTTTCTATTCCCAGGCCTGGGAGGGCCATTGTACTGTGGACAGCTGTGAAGGGGAACTGACCTTTTACCGTCTGGAGAAGGTGTGGGCTGGTTTCTGGACTAGAGATGAGCAAGGAGGGGAACCCAAGGTTGCTTGGAACTGCATGGGTGTGAAAACTTTTCCTGATTTCCTTTCCTTTCAACTGTAGGGTCTCTCAGAGAAACAGGACTGGGCCTCACAAGCTCCCTGGGTGGGATACAGAAAGGTGTGAAGAGTTCAAAGTAGATGGTCAGTCCCTCCAAAAAAGTCTGCCTGGGTAGTGGTTTCTTCCTGTGTCTGGAGGAAGATGCCCAGTGATTGACTTGGGAATCCAGCAACATGGACTGACTTGAGTAATTGAGTGAG